TTGGGTCACTGTAGCTATACAATTTATTTGAGCATGAGCTTTCGTGAGCTACAGCTCACTTCATCAGATGCATACCGTGGAAACTGCAGCAGACTTTATATATACACAGAGAATATGAAACAATACCTCCTCCCACCCCACTGTCCTGCTGGTAATAGCTTATCTAAAGTGATCATCAGGTGGGCCATTTCCAGCACAAATCCAGGTTTTCTCACCCTCCACCCCCCCACACAAATTCACTCTCCTGCTGGTGCTAGCCCATCCAAAGTGACAACTCTTTACATAATCAAGTCGGGCTATTTCCTGCATAAATCCAGGTTTTCTCACATCCCCCCCACCCCCATACACACACAAACTCACTCTCCTGCTGGTAATAGCTCATCTAAACTGACCACTCTCCAAGTTTAAATCCAAGTTAAACCAGAACATCGGGGGGGGGGGGGGGGTAGAAAAAACAAGAGGAAACAGGCTACCTTGCATAATGACTTAGCCACTCCCAGTCTCTATTTAAGCCTAAATTAATAGTATCCAATTTGCAAATGAATTCCAATTCAGCAGTTTCTCGCTGGAGTCTGGATTTGAAGTTTTTTTGTTTTAAGATAGCGACCTTCATGTCTGTGATTGCGTGACCAGAGAGATTGAAGTGTTCTCCGACTGGTTTATGAATGTTATAATTCTTGACATCTGATTTGTGTCCATTTATTCTTTTACGTAGAGACTGTCCAGTTTGACCAATGTACATGGCAGAGGGGCATTGCTGGCACATGATGGCATATATCACATTGGTGGATGTGCAGGTGAACGAGCCTCTGATAGTGTGGCTGATGTTATTAGGCCCTGTGATGGTGTCCCCTGAATAGATATGTGGGCACAATTGGCAACGGGCTTTGTTGCAAGGATAAGTTCCTGGGTTAGTGGTTCTGTTGGATGGTATGTGCGGCACTGCTATGGGTACCCGCATGGCCCCACAGTTTGCCAACATTTTTATGGCTGATTTAGAACAACGCTTCCTCAGCTCTCGTCCCCTAAAGCCCCTACTCTACTTGCGCTATATTGATCACATCTTCATCATCTGGACCCATGGAAAAGAAGCCCTTGAGGAATTCCACCATGATTTCAACAATTTCCATCCCACCACCAACCTCAGCCTGGTCCAGTCCACACAAGAGATCCACTTCCTGGACACTACAGTGCTAATAAACAATGGCCACATAAACATCACCCTATACCGGAAACCTACTGACTGCTATTCCTACCTGCATGCCTCCAGCTTTCACCCTGACCACACCACACGATCCATCGTCTACAGCCAAGCTCTGTGATACAACCGCATTTGCTCCAACCCCTCAGACAGAGACAAACACCTACAAGATCTCTGTCAAGCTTTCTTACAACTACAATACCCACCTGCAGAAGTAAAGAAACAGATTGATAGAGCCAGAAGAGTTCCCAGAAGTTACCTACTACAGGACAGGCCTAACAAAGAAAATAACAGAACGCCACTAGCGGTCACCTTCAGCCCCCAACTAAAACCCCTCCAACGCATTATTAAGGATCTACAACCTATCCTGAAGGATGACCCAACACTCTCACAAGTCTTGGGAGACAGGCCAGTCCTTGCCTACAGACAGCCCCACAACCTGAAGCAAATACTCACCAACAACCACACACCACACAACAGAACCACTAACCCAGGAACTTATCCTTGCAACAAAGCCCGTTGCCAATTGTGCCCACATATCTATTCAGGGGACACCATCACAGGGCCTAATAACATCAGCCACACTATCAGAGGCTCGTTCACCTGCACATCCACCAATGTGATATATGCCATCATGTGCCAGCAATGCCCCTCTGCCATGTACATTGGTCAAACTGGACAGTCTCTACGTAAAAGAATAAATGGACACAAATCAGATGTCAAGAATTATAACATTCATAAACCAGTCGGAGAACACTTCAATCTCTCTGGTCACGCAATCACAGACATGAAGGTCGCTATCTTAAAACAAAAAAACTTCAAATCCAGACTCCAGCGAGAAACTGCTGAATTGGAATTCATTTGCAAATTGGATACTATTAATTTAGGCTTAAATAGAGACTGGGAGTGGCTAAGTCATTATGCAAGGTAGCCTGTTTCCTCTTGTTTTTTCCTACCCCCCCCCCCCCCCGATGTTCTGGTTTAACTTGGATTTAAACTTGGAGAGTGGTCAGTTTAGATGAGCTATTACCAGCAGGAGAGTGAGTTTGTGTGTGTATGGGGTGGGGGGGATGTGAGAAAACCTGGATTTATGCAGGAAATAGCCCGACTTGATTATGTAAAGAGTTGTCACTTTGGATGGGCTAGCACCAGCAGGAGAGTGAATTTGTGTGGGGGGTGGAGGGTGAGAAAACCTGGATTTGTGCTGGAAATGGCCCACCTGATGATCACTTTAGATAAGCTATTACCAGCAGGACAGTGGGGTGGGAGGAGGTATTGTTTCATATTCTCTGTGTATATATAAAGTCTGCTGCAGTTTCCACGGTATGCATCTGATGAAGTGAGCTGTAGCTCACGAAAGCTCATGCTCAAATAAATTGGTTAGTCTCTAAGGTGCCACAAGTACTCCTTTTCTTTTTGCGAATACAGACTAACACGGCTGTTACTCTGAAACCTGTAGCTATACCAAGGCTAGGAAGCTGACCAGTGCTGAAACCAGGTGTCAAGGTTCACTATTGCCAAGCACAAGAGATCACAAATTATGAGTTGGACCCCAAAAAGTCATGAGATTGGACCCCAAATTTATGAGATTTATTTTTTAAATTACCATATTGTGGGATTTTTGGTCTGTCTTTTGTTTTTGAACAACTCCTGCCCTTCCCGTGTGTGAGAGATAATTAGTGCTGCCCACGCTGCCAAATATATTGGGTAAGGGGATTTTGGCCTCTGCTGACAGAGCTCTAACCCCAACCCCTGCCCAGCCTCACCTCTGCTCCTCCTAGGGTTCTTCATCTTCCTCTCCCAGGCTGGGGGAGGGGCTGCAAGTCAAGTCCCATCTCCCCTTTCCAGGATGGGGAGGGGGAAGCAACATGGGGCTCTTCACCTCCCCTCCCCCCCACACTTCTTCCCAGAGGGATGGAGACGGGGAGGAGCAGATGCACCATCCCATCCTTATTTCTCACAGGATGGGAGGGGGCAGGCGGAAATGGAGCTGCCCTGAGCTGCCGGACTCTCTTGCTCCCTTCTTCCCTCTCCTCACCCCTTTGTGAATGGCTTCAAGTGGCTTTAGGGATAGGGAAGGGGGAGAGACTGCTCTGTCTTCAGCAACTCTGATTTTCCCAGGCGGCAGGCAAATGGAATGGGCAAGTGGGAATGCTAGAGGGCTGGAGTGTCTTGCCTCATCACAAGACTAGCCCCGTTCTAAGAAAAATCCCATCACTCTGGAAAAAAAAACCCATCAGTTGGTAATACTGTGAAGACACTTTTGTCCTGGCTACGCTAGGGCTGAGTCTCTACTGACAAAATTCAGACCGGAGCTCTCCGCTGATTTGTAGCAGCAGTGGGATCCGTAGTGTCATCTGGCCCATTTTTAACCCGATGGCATCTACAGCTGCAGGATTACATGACAGAGGGCTTCCAGTGGTAGCAGGCAACCTGTACGAGCACTCTCATTGTTGGTCTTATTTGATTTTGTATTTCAGTAATGCCTAGGATTCCCAAGCCAGCGTTGGGGCTCCTTCTTGCCTGGTGCTGTACAGTCATGGAACAAGGAGACTATGCCAGCATGCAGAGCTCACAGGACAGGGATGCTTTTCCCAAAAATTGCCAGTCTAGAGGCAGCCATAGGGTCTAGCATAGTCATGGCTTGTATGTGGATAAGAGAGTGCTGCTGTGACTCTGACACAGTGTGTGGCTCTAAGGCTTTGTTGCTGTAGCATTTTATGCATTGCCATGTCACCAGCAGGGGGTGTGTGTTGCTGTCACACTCTGTGTGGTCTGGGGATGTGTTTCGTTGTGTGTTTGTGTGTTTGTGTGTGTGGTAGCAGTGCTTCTTCTGTGTTGCTATTTGTAAGTTGTGCTGTTGTGTGTGGTAGTTTTGTGTGACAATGGTGCCTCTCTCCTGTTTGTGTGTAACTGTGTGTTGTATGGCTATGTTACACTGTCTGGTGACAGTGCCTCTCTCTTGTATTATTGGGTTGCATGGCTGTGTTCTGGGGTGATGGAGCTGTGTGTGGTTGTCTTTCTGTATATGGCAGTGTATGTCCGTGTGGCTCTGTGAGGCTGGGTTGCTGCATTTGTAGATCTGTGTGTGGTTGACACACACTGTGTGTACCAGTATGTGCTGTGGTGTTGCAATGTGTGGTTGTGTTGCAATGTGTGCACTGTTGTGGTGCAGTATGCATATGTGCAGGTACAGTTGTGGGGTGCATGTGCATGCATGGTCCACACACAGTTGTATTGCAGTGTGCGCACAGTGATGGTGCAGTATGCATGTGGTAGTGGTGCATTGTCAGTGTGCAGTATATGGTGGTGGTGCACTATGTGTGTTGCAACATGTGTGTGTGTAGTTGTGGTACAGGCGCAGTGTGTGGCAGTGTTGTACTGTGTGGGTGTGTTGCAATGTGCGGTGCAACGGGGTGCAGTGTGTGGTGCAGAGTGTGGTTGTGGTGCTGTGTGCAATTGTGGCGCAGTGCGCATTGCAGTGTGGGTACAGTGTGTGGTTTGTGGTGCAGTATGTGGTTGTGCTGCAGCGCGTGTATTGCACGGTGCAGTGACGTTGCACTGTGTGGCTGTCATGCAGTGTGTGCATTGCAGTGTGGGTACAGTGTGTGGTTTGTGGTGCAGTATGTGGTTGTGGTGCAGCGCGTGCATTGCACTGTGCAGTGAGGTTGCACTGTGTGGCTCTCATGCAGTGTGTGCATTGCAGTGTGGGTACAGTGTGTGGTTTGTGGTGCAGTATATGATTGTAGTATGTGGTTGTGGTGCAGCACGTGCATTGCACTGTGCAGTGAGGTTGCACTGTGTGGCTCTCATGCAGTGTGTGCAGTGCAGCGCGCGGATGGGATGCAGTGTGCAGGGCATGCAGCGTGTGCGTGCCCTGGGGTGCAGCGCACGGCCGGGCTCTGGCTGCAGGTGGCAGTGAGGGGACTGATCCGCTCCCGCACGGCGGCGATGACTTCAGCAGTCGCCTGTCCCCCAGCCCAGCCGGGGAAGGCTCCCGCCCCGCGCTCGCCAGAGAGCCGGGCCGCCCCGGGGCCAGGCCGGCGCCGCCGCAGCAGCCGGGGCAGAGCCGCCGCGAGCAGCGAGGTAGGGGGCTCCGCGCGGGCGGGCGCCCCCCTGCCCCGAGTCCCCGCGCCCGGCTGCCCGGATGGCGGCGCCCGGGGGGCCGCAGACGGGCACCGCTGGCGGGGGGGGCTCACATCTGGGAGGAGGAAACAACTGGGCGCGGGGTGGGGGGCGCACGCAGCTGTGCGGGGCACCTGCGGAGGCGGCTGGCGGAGCAGGGAGCGCCGGGGCCGGCAGGGAGGCTGCGGTGCTGGGCGCGCCAGGGGCCCTGCGTGCTTCCTGCCGGCTGCGCCTGCCTGGCCCTGGCTGGGCAGTCCGGGGCCACCCGCCAGGAGCCGGCCGCGCCGCCCCTACCCCGGACCCGCCGCTCCCCTGGGCTCAGCGACTCCCTTTCCCGGGGCGAGAGGGCAACCGGGCAGTGCTGCCCCTGCCGCCGCGGCTCCGGGTCTGTGCCCGCGCTGCGGGAGCGGGGCTGTGGGGTGGGCATGGCCCTATTCACCAGGGAGCCTGGGGGGTGGGGCAGGCTCTGACTGGGGCCTTTGCCTTCTTTTACCGGGTGGGGGAGGTCTGGCCTGCCTGCAGGGACTGGGGTCTCTCCCTGGCCCCCGTCCCCTGTCTCCGTCCATGCCTTACTGACTGGGAGGGCTCCTGTACTTTAGGGAAGAGCCCTGCCCCAGCCCCTAGGGGATGAGGTGTGTGTCCTGTTAGGTCCCTCTCATTCCTAACATCTGTGATTCAGTGACTCATGCTCTTTTGTGGGCTAATCTCTGTGCTCTGACTTTTTTTCCTTTGGGTGGGGGTGTGTACAGGCTTCATCCACCATGGACCCACTTTGCCCCAAACCTCTAAGTTGAGGCACTGGACTCCCCTTTTGGGGGTGGGAGTGTGTTTATTTTTGTGAAGATGAACCTGACAGGCAGGCTGCAGAACTGGGCTGACCAAAGGCGCTTGGATCCTTTCAACACCTCCCTACAGCTGCTGCACTCTCTCAGTGGGAATTCCACCTCTTCCTCTTTCCAGGGGGATCTCCAGGAGATCATCCACACAGCCACGCTGGTCACCTGCACCTTTCTGCTGGCCCTCATCTTCTGCCTGGGGTCCTATGGCAACCTCATTGTCTTCTTGTCCTTCTTCGACCCAGCCTTCAGGAAATTCAGGACTAACTTTGACTTTATGATCCTCAACTTGTCCTTCTGCGACCTCTTCATTTGTGGGGTAACTGCCCCCATGTTTGCCTTCGTCCTGTTTTTCAACTCTGTGAATGGTGTTCCTGATGCTTTCTGCTTCACTTTCCACCTCACCAGCTCTGGCTTCATCATCATGTCTCTCAAGACAGTGGCTGTGATTGCCCTGCACCGGCTGCGGATGGTGCTGGGGAAGCAGCCCAACCGAACTGCCTCCTTCCCTTGCACTCTCCTGCTCACCTTGCTCTTGTGGGCCACAAGCTTCACCTTGGCTACCTTGGCCACCCTGAGAACCCGTAAGTCCCGCCTCTGCCTCCCCATGTCCAGCCTGATCAGTGGCGAAGGGAAGATCATCCTCTACTTGTATGTGAGTGATTTCATTTGCTGTGTAGCTGTGGTCTCAGTCTCCTATATCATGATAGCCCAGACATTGAGGAGAAATGCCCAAGTGAGGAAATGTCCCCCCATCATCACAGTAGATGCCTCCAGACCGCAGCCTTTCATTGGACCTCGTGCTTCAGGAGGGGTGGATGAGGTGCAGTGTGCTATGCCTGCTTTGTACAGGAACCAGAACTACAGCAAGTTGCAGCATGTCCAGACCCATGGCTACAGTAAGAATCTCAGCCAGCTGCCAGCTCCAGCATCCACCAGGCTCCAACTGGTGTCTACAGTGAATTTGTCCACAGCTAAAGACTCCAAAGCGGTGGTGACATGTGTGGTCATTGTCCTCTCTGTCTTAGTTTGCTGTCTCCCCCTGGGGATCTTCTTGGTGCAGGATGTGCTGTCCAGTAATGGTGGTTTCATCCTCTACCAGTTTGAGTTGTGTGGATTTACCCTCATTTTTTTCAAATCTGGATTAAATCCTTTTATATATTCCCGGAACAGTGCTGGACTTAGGAGGAGAGTCCTTTGGTGTCTCCAATATTTAGCCCTTGGTTTTTTCTGCTGCAAGCAGAAGACAAGGCTTCGAGCCATGGGCAAAGGGAGCTTGGAAGTCAACAGAAACAAGTCATCCCATCATGAAACCAATTCGGCATACATGTTGTCTCCAAAACCTCAGAAAAAGTTTGTGGATCAAGCTTGTGGTCCTAGTCATTCTAAGGAAAGTGTGTTGAGTCCTAAGGCTTCTGTTGGACATCAGCACTATGCACAGAGCAGCTCAACCCCCATGAATACCCGCATTGAACCTTATTACAGCATCTATAACAGCAGCCCTTCACAGGAAATGAGCACACCAAATAGCTTACAGCCAGTAAAGTCTACTTTTGGATTTGCCAAATCCTATATTGCCATGCATTATCATACCACTAATGACTTGGTGCGAGATTATGACAGCACTTCAGCTAAACAGATTCCTGTCCCCTCTGTTTAACTTGGAGGATGATATCAGAGAAAGTTGACCACACTTCATCTGGTTTTCTGTCTCCCCTTGTTTGTTTTTATTCATGATTATTCTGAACTCAAAGGTATAGTATTATATCTGATTTTGCTATCCAGTTGCCAATTTACAAATTACTAATATTGTTAATATTCAATTATTTAGAGTTGAACTAAGCAGTAGAATACTGTTTCCACAATATTTTTTTGAACTTGTATAATTTTTCATTAATAAAAAGGGCATCTTTTAGATTTGTACTTGGAATAGTTATATTAGGGTGTTTTTGTTACTAAATTTTATGCTGAACACTGTAAGTGTGGAAAGTGTAGGTTTAATTACATCATGTGGCAAAGTATGTAAAGAAAACAGACTTTGCCAACATTATGGTTTGTTATGTATTTGCTGTATTTTTAAGAATGTAGAAAACCATGTTGCCAGTGAATTGGGTGGATGCTTAAGGATTTATCTTGATAACTTGAGTATAAAGTTTGTTTTATTGCAGGCGTTGAAAGAATGAATAATATTCCTATAAAAAGTGCCATACTGAGTAAATTTTTCTGTGGTTCTAAGGTGAAATCCTGACTTTATTGAAGTCAATGGAAAATTCTCACTGACTTCAGTGGGACCAGGATATCACTCCTGGTTACTTATAAATAGCTGTATATCACTACCTATTAGGAATGTTCCTTGCAAGAGGCATTGTGCCTTGTTATATGGTAATCTTAATTTTTGTTATACCTTTATTGTAGACACTGGTGTCATAAAATACCATTTTAATGGTATATGGAGAAATGATTTTCAACTGATAAAAGTTAACTTGCAATGCCTAATTATAAGTTTTACTTGAGGATACAAATGACTATTGCAATATCACAGTGCTGACATTTATGTGCTAATGCAGTAGCCTATGTAATTTTCTACTTTACAAACTGTTACCTGAGGAGCAGTGTTGTTGTTTGGTTTTTGTCTATGACTTTATATATTTCGCAGATTAGGATCCGACATTGCCATCAAATGCGGGTAGAAATTACTAATATCTGGAAAAAACAAAATTACCAAGTAATCATAATATTACTACTCTTTTTTCAGATTTTCTTATCTACTAAAACATTTTAAAACAGTCTAGTGATGAATTATTTACCTTGAAGTCAGATTATTTGTCTACTTCTGCATTTTATCTACAGCCCTACATAAGCAACAAAATATAGAAGTGAAATATTTTTATAATGCTGATATTTAGTTTTATTGTATTATGTGTTGTGGAAATCCCTATTGAAACAGGATGGTTTTAGTTTTAAAATAAAGTTTTTTTGCTATTAAATCGGCAGCCAAAATTTTCAGATTGGTGTTCTTAAAGTCAGTCACTTAAATACGTGCTCTGTATTTCAAAAGTGCTGAACACCTCTGAACTCCTATAGACTTCAGCAGAAGCTCTGAAATAATTAACCCACTTATAAGTTCAGGTGCCTCATTTTAGCCACCCAAGTTTGAAAAAGTTGGCATCTTTAATTAACAAAATTACATCGTTTGGTTCCAGGGAAATGATTTATTATTTAGAAAAAGAAAAACATCCTTTCATAGTAATGTGAATAGTTTTAGCTGGCTTTTTTAGAAACTAAACTATTTTACAGTGTTTCCACTGAAGAATGTCACTTTAATGAATAATTTTCTTAGTTTTAAGAAAATAAAATATAATAATCAGTAATTTAAACGGTTTCAGAGTAGCAGCCACGTTAGTCTGTATTCGCAAAAAGAAAAGGAGGACTTGTGGCACCTTAGAGACTAACAAATTTATTTGAGCATCCGATGAAGTGAGCTGTAGCTCATGAAAGCTTATGCTCAAATAAATTTGTTAGTCTCTAAGGTGCCACAAGTCCTCCTTTTCTTTTTTAGTAATTTAAACATGACATAATTTCTTGCAGTAAGGAATCTAACAAATTTCTATCACAAATGTAAAGTTGAAATAATTTCAATGGTTCCTTTCTCCCTACCCAGATATTTTTTTCTGTGAATGAACAACATGGGCCTTGCTAAAATGACGATAAAATATAACTAACTAAAATGTCTCACGTTTGGGGTTTTTTTCTGTCTTTGGATTACTCCTTAGCATGATGCCCCATCATTTTTTGGGGTGGAGATGATGTTATGGGCTTGATCCTGCAGTTCTCACTCAGACACCACACTGATTGCACTACGTGGCAGCTTTACTTAAGAAAGGATATTAGGACTGGGCCCTGACTCTGAGAAATGGATGCAGGATTGGGTCCTATATGTACTTAACTTGCACATCTCCTGTTCTGCATTCCTGGCACGTCCGAACTTCCCACTGAAGTCAGTGAGAGTTTTGGGTGTTCAAGGATTGCTAGATCAGGTTTTAAGGTGGTTTGTTTGTTTATGTTCCTTAAATTACGCATTTTGCTTTGAATTATGTGATCTCCATAACATGACTAAGGGTTAGGTTATGATCACTTTGCTCATAAAAGTAAATGTATTCAATATTTGCGTGATGAGTAACGTGAGAAAGGGATTGAAATCTTTTCAAAATATTTTATAATGTTTTTTCTTAAGTTAACTGCTGATGTAACTTTTATTCCTAATATTTTTAAATGTTTGTGGTCTCAGATAACAAAATGTAGCATTTCTGAACTTTTAACTGCAATAAGAACACTGTCCAATTTGAGTTGTCCTACATAATATTAAATAACAAAGCATTTTGTGGAGCTGAATGTATGTGATAAATAGAAAATATATTATGTTGCTGTAATTTTATTGAAGTGATTCCTTAATTTAAGTATCAGGAGTCATTAGAAGATCACAAAATAAGTGATTTTTATCTCCAGTAATCTTATTTATTTGTACTATAGTAGTACGTAACTGGCCCCATTAAATCAGGGCACCATTATGGACACGGAATAAAATTTCCTTACTTCCTAAGAAAGTGACAGTCTAACTGAGACAAGACGCAACATGTGAATGGTTAGGGGGGGTGGACCACCCATACTAAGAGATTGAAAAGAATGGAGATGAATAAGAGAGGACATGATAAAAGTATATATAATACTGAATGGTTTAGAGACGGTAGATGTGGAGCTTCTGTTCTCCCTGGCTGATAACACAAGAAGTGAAACTGAAAGGTGGCATGTCCTTGTATTATAACACAGAATTAGGCTGGAGAACTCATAGCTGCATAATGTCATTGAGACCAAGAATCTACCAAGATTCAAAGAGGGATTGGACATTTATATGAGTAATAAGAACATCCAGAGTTATAATAGTTAATGCCAAGAAATTTTGGAAGGATATAAAACCTCCTGCTTCAGGATTTAAAACATTTTCTGATTTAGGGATTAGGATAAAACCTTCATATGGGGGGGGGGAGGGAGATTATCCTTACTGTGGGGTTACTTCACCTTCCTCTGAAGCATCTGATGCTGATCATTGTTTAAGATGGGATATTCTGTAACAAATATATGGGAGAAATGAGGAGGAAAACACTAATATTAGTCAGATATGTGCACAGCCAGATGATTTTCAGTTAATTTATAAACTAAAAATAAATCCTTACTGGTCATCTATCTAGTACTTATAATTTGGCAATTTCTCATAGACTTCATGGTAAAAATAGATCTGGAGAAGAGACCATCAGGGGGCCAAAATAACATGGCTCTCTGAAGCCTGAGCTTTGAGGGGATAGCAAAGAATTTGCCTCCATCAACCCCCACACCCCCAAACCTACAAAACTTCCCACAAAAACAGACCATACTGTTGCAGAGGATGGATTCTCCAAGGAATTCTGAACATTTAAAAAGATAACTCACTAAGGGTATGTCTACACTACGAAATTAGGTCAATACTATAGAAGTCGATTTTTAGACATCGATTTTACACAGTCGATTGCATATGTCCACACTAAGTGCATTAAGGCAGCGGAGTGCGTCCTCACTACCAGGGCTAGCATCGACTTACGGAGTGGTGCACTGTGGGTAGCTATCCCACAGTCCCCGCAGTCTCTGCCGCCCATTGGAATTCTGGGTTAAGCTCCCAATGCCTGATGGGGCAAAAACATTGTTGCGGGTGGTTTTGGGTACATGTCGTCAGTCGCCCCTCCCTCTGTGAAAGCAATGGCAGACAATTGTTTCGTGCCTTTTTTCCGTGCAGACGCCATACTGCTTTCAGCAGATGCTGCAGTAGGACTGCTAATCGTCATCATCCACCGCTTCCACTGCTACTCTGCTCTGTCTCAATAGCGAATTTCTCCATGTTGTCTGTCATGGGCTCCTGGGTACGTTTGTTCTTCCTCAGGCAATGTGCACAGTGCTAACCGTCGTCCTCCACCGCTTCCGCTGCAACTCTGCTCTCCTGCTCTCATGAATCTACCTCGCAGGTCCTCTTGTTGGTCTCAATAAATATCTATTCTCGTGGCATCCGTCGTCAGCCACTGCTTCCGCTGCAACTCTTCTCTTCAGCAGACACCATACCACGGCAAGCATGGAGCCTGCTCAGATCACCGCGGCAGTTATGAGCATTATAAACACCTCGCGTATTATCCTACACTATGTGCAGAACCAGAACATGCAAAAACAGGCAAGGAGGTGACGGCAGTGCAGTGATGAGAGTGATGAGGACATAGACACAGACTTCTCTCAAAGTACGGGCCCTGGCAATTTGGACATCCTGGTGGTAATGGGGCAGACTCATGCTGTGGAATGCCAATTCTGGGCCCTGGAAACAAGCACAGACTGGTGGCTGTGAAACTTTCGTATGCTTAATGGCACTTTCATGGAACTTTGTGACTTGCTTTCCCCTGACCTGAGGCACAACAATACCAAGATGAGAGCAGCCCTCACAGTTCACAAGCAAGTGGCGATAGCCCTCTGGAAGCTTGCAATGCCAGACAACTACCGGTCAGTCGGGAATCAATTTGGAGTGGGCAAATCTACTGTGGGGGCTGCTGTGATCCATGTAGCCAACCCAATCACTGATGTTCTGCTATCAAGGGTAGTGACTCTGGGAAATTGCAGGTCATAGTGGATGGCTTTGCTGCAATGGGATTCCCTAACTGTGGTGGGGCGATGGACGGAATGCATATCCCTATCTTGGGACCGGAGCACCTTGCCAACCAGTATGTAAACCGCAAGGGGTACTTTTCAATGGTGCTGCAAGCACTGGTGGATCACAAGGGGCGTTTCACCAACATCAACGTGGGATGGCCGGGAAAGATACATGATGCTCGCATCTTCAGGAACTCTGGTCTGTTTGAACAGCTGCAGGAAGGGACTTACTTCCCAGACCAGAAAATAGCTGTTGGGGGTGTTGAAATGCCTATAGTTATCCTTGGGGACCCAGCCTAGCCCTTAATACCCTAGCTCATGAAACCATATGCAGGCACCCTGGACAGTAGTGAGGAACAGTTCAACTATAAGCTGAGCAAGTGCAGAATGGTGGTAGAATGTGCATTTGGACATTTAAAAGCACGCTGGCGCAGTTTACTGACTCGGTTAGATCTCAGCGAAACCAATATTCCCATTGTTATTGCTGCTTGCTGTGTGCTCCACAATATCTGTGAGAGTAAGGGGGAGACGTTTATGGCGGGATGGGAGGTTGAGGCAAATTGCCTGGCCGCTGATTATGTGCAGCCAAACACCAGGGCAATTAGAAGAGCACAGCGGGGCGCACTGTGCATCAGAGAAGCTTTGAAAACCAGTTTCATGACTGGCCAGACTACGTTGTGACAGTTCTGTTTGTTTCTCCTTGATGAAAACCCGCCCCCTTGGTTCACTCTACTTCCCTGTAAGCCAACTGCCCTCCCCCCTTCGATCACCACTTGCAGAGGCAATAAAGTCATTGTTGTTTCAAAGTCATGCATTCTTTATTAATTCATAACACAAATAGGGGGATAACTGCCAAGGTAGCCCAGGAGGGGTGGGTGAGGAGGGAAGCACCGGGTGGGGTGGTGGATGGGGGGAGGAGGGAAGAATAAGGCCACAATGCACTTCAAGAGTTATTGAATGCCAGCCTTCTGTTGCTTGGGCAGCCTCTGGGATGGAGTGGTTGGGTGCCCAGAGGGCCCCCCCTGCACGTTCTTGGGCATCTGGTTGAGGAAGCTATGGAACTTGGGGAGGAGGGTGGGTGGTTACGCAGGGGCTGCAGTGGCAGTCTGTGCTCCTGCTGCCTTTCCTGCAGCTCCACCAGACGCCAGAGCATATCAGTTTAATCCCCCAGTAGCCTCAGTATTGCATCCTGCCTCCTCCCATCACGCTGCCACCACATCTCCTCTTGCTCCTGCAACCTCTCATCTTGCTTGTCCCTCCTGTCCTTGTGTTCATTTTCTGCTTTCCTGGATTCTGCCAGTGTTTGCCTCCAAGCATTCTGCAGAGCTCTTTCAGTGCGGGCGGACTGTATAAGCTCAGAGAACATTTCATCATGAGTGCGTTTTTTTTGCCTTCTTATCTGTGCTAGCCTCTGGGACGGAAATGGTAAGGGGAACGTTGAAATATTTGCAGCTGCAGGAGGAAAAAAGGAAGAGTAGTGTTTAAAAAGACACATTTTAGAGAACAATGGGTAGACTCTTTCATGTTGAACCAAGCTGTTAACATTACATAGCACATGTGCTTTCGGTACAAGGTCTCATTTTGCCTCTTATATTGAGGGCCTGCCGGTTTGGTGTGAGAGATCACACACGCAGGGCCGGGCAACAGAATTTGGCTCGCAGGTAGCCATGGTAACCCACAGTCTTTCGGCTTCTTCAGCCTTCATAACATGGGAATAGTTTCAAACAGCGGCGCCCTCCTTTCCCGTACCAAGCACCCATTGGGTTGGCCATTTAAAAGGGGGGGCTGCGGTTTTCAGGTTAATGTGAAGCACAAACCCAACTAACCCCCCCCCAATTCTCTGGGATGATCACTTCACGCCTCCTCCCACCGCCTGACTAGTATCAGAGAAGATCCCTGCCAACCAAATGCTAACAGCTCAGCGTGAACGGCGCCCCCCCTCCACCGCGTGGCTAATAGCAGGGATGATTTCTTTTCAGCCACAGGCAAACAGCCCAGCAGGAATGGCCACCTCTGAATGTCCCCTTAATAATGTCCCTGGAGGATTTCCGTTCCATCCCCAGACATGTTAACAGACTTTTCCAGTAACTGTACTGGCCGCGAATGCATCCCAAGTCTTCAGGACAAATTAATCATTAAACACGTTTGCTTTTAAACCATGTATTATATTTACAAAGGTACACTCACCAGAGGTATCTTCTCTGGCTTCATGGTCCGGGAGCCCGCCTTGGGAGGGTTGGGAGGGATTGGCTCCAGGGTGATAAACAGTTTCTGGCTGTTGGAGAGAACGGTTTCTCTGCTTGCCTGTTGTGCGCTATCCTCCTCCTCCTCCTCATCTTCCTCGTCCCCAAAATCCTCATCCCTGTTGTGTGAGACTCCCCTCTTGCAGGTATTCACGGACAGGGGTGGGGTAGTGGTAGGGACACCCCCTAGAATTGCATGCAGCTCATCATAGAAGTGGCATGTCTGGGGCTCTGACCCAGAGTGGTCGTTTGCCTCTTTGGTTTTTTGGTAGGCTTGCCTGAGCTCCTTAATTTTCACATGGCACTGCTACAAGTCCCTGTTATTGCCTCTGTCCATCATGCCCTTGGAGATTTTTTCAAATATATTGGCATTTTGTCTTTTGGAACGGAATTCTGATAGCACAGATTCATCTCCCCATATAGCAATCAGAT